CACCCCCTCATCCTCATGACACTGACCTTCTCCACGGATCTCTTGAAGATGTCCTTGTACTCCTCCTTGCTGATCTTCTTGTTGCTCCAGGCGGCCTTGAGAGCGCTGCGCACTGCGTCCTCCACCAGCTGTTTAAAACCTTTCTTCACCTGCCCCCCACACAGACATAACAGTGGATGAAATACAACAGTCCATCAGACTAAGTAACAAGCTTTAGTCTAGTCTAGTCTAGTCTAGTCCAGTCCAGTCCAGTCCAGTCCAGTCCAGTCCAGTCCAGTCCAGTCCAGTCCAGTCTACTTTTATGGAACTTGCTACACAAATAGGTCATACAAATGCCCAAGATTTGAGGTGGTTACAAGTGAGTAAAATACAAAGAAAAAAAGGATGAGAGATAAAAAAGGTAGGCGTTTTTAGCAAAGAAAGAGCAAACCACACCAGAACACCCACCAACCACCCACATCACACATTGAAGAAGCCCTTGTCGATCCAAATAACTATAAGGACAATACAAAAAAGACTCATCTCTGACAGATGTTGTGACATAACAGTAAATGTTTTCTGACCCCTTTAATGTATTTGAAGTCATTTAGAATGCTGACAGCTTCAACCCAACCTGTCAGGACCAACCCTGGCTGTGAGGGACCCAGCATCCCAGCACTGGTCATTAGTCATTGTATAGCTTTAACACCCCTTTCAACACTGTAATAACATCCCAGTAAAAACAAACATTCACTAAAATCAATTTCCCTATGTGGGAATCAAACTCAGGTGTTTTACCAGCAACAGCCTATCAATATCTCCACATGCTAAAAGTGTTACTTGGGAGAAACAGGCTTGTTGCACTAAAAAAATCAACTATGGTATGGGTTAAAGATCATACAGTCAACAACGGACAAACATGCAGCGACTCACCTCATCATGCAGGATATTGGAGGCCAGTCTGTCTGATGTGGCCACTCCCCGGATGGCGGGCGGTGGGGAGATGCGATAGCTGGCCCGCCGGCTCACCTTCTCTTGCTTCGGGGATTTCAATCGTGTTTTACCGGCCTCATGACGCAACGCAGGATGACTTTCAACTTTCCCTGCTGTTCCTGGCTCTAGTTTCCCACCGCCCCCCACTTCCTGTTTGAGGGTAACTCCTGGTTCTACCTTCTCCACACCTGTCACGGGTTGTGGGTAGCGGGGGTAGCCCGGGTGGGCAGCAGGGGCAGGTGGTTGTTGGGGTGGTGGCTGATGTTGGCTGGTAGGGGGGTGGGATGGGTACGTTGAGCCCACTGCGGGTGCCGTTGGGTACATAGGGTGTCGTGTCGTAGCAGGGGCAGGTGGTGGGTAGTGACCCGAGGGCGGCCCAGGGTAATAGGGTGGGTGTTGCGACATGTGAGGGTGGGCTGCGGTGGTGCTGGCTGTAGGGGGTTGTGATGGAGGGGTGTGCCCGTAGTGTGGGGGGAAACCTGCATTGTGCGGTGTAGAGGTAGGGTGGGTGGTGGGATGGCCAGGGGGCGGGACTGGTGGGGGGAGGGTCGCGTTGTGCATTGGGTTCATGGGTCTCGGGGCCGGAGGGTAGGTAGGGTACCCAGGGTAAGGGTAGCTATGAGGACGGGTCATGGGTCTAGACCCCGGAGCCGTGGCGGGATTGTGGGGGTGGGGTGGGCCAGAGTAGTGAGGCGGTGGATACGAGGATTGTGGGTACGAAATGGCTCCTGGGTGGGCTGGGGGTCTTGCTGTGGGGTGGGGAGGCAGATGATGCTGC